CACCATTATCTCTGAGCAGATCTGATTCCAGAAACCAAAACTCTTCAGATTGTTTTTGGGGTTTTTTTTAAGTAAGAAAAAAAGGGAGAGAGAGAGAGAGAGAGAGAGAGAGAGAGAGAGAGAGAGAGAGAGAGAAAGAGAGAGAGAAAGAGAGAGAGAGAGAGAGAGAGGTCACAGACGTCCTGACCTGAATGTGAGGTCAGTTTCTCTGACAGTGGACGTGCGAGGGCGTCTGCTTTTATACTGCCCTGTGTGTAATGTGTCTGGAATTTTTTTTTCCTGACGAACATGTACGGGACACACATGCCAGTTTTTAACTCTACCATTCTGTTCATCCAGCTCGTTGCCAATCTCCTGGCCCATCATCTTTTGCCGGCTGATGACGGCGGCTAGTGCGTCCAAGCCCGCATCCTGAGCTGTGAAGAGAGAGGAAAGAAACATTAATAATATAATAAACTAGAGTTTCTCACTATACCAGAAGCATAAACGTCGATAGGATACAAGTACAAATCTTCAATACCAAAACAAGAGGTGTCGAAAAAGTATATAAATGTTGACAACCTCACTATAGGCTGGAGCGCAAGGATGCTAACTTACCGTAATTGAACTGAAATGTTTTTTTTTTGGTTTTAAAAAGTTCAGCATTCGGATGAAAAACACACAAATCTGCAAAAAGCAACTCGAAGCGCTGTAGTGTACATGCCAGGCCAGTAGTTGGCGGTGTGACTTCCTTGTGAAACAAGAGGAACTTGCAAACATAATGTTCCTTCTACAGAGCCGTGAGTTGTTCACATAGACTGTAAATATGAATGTTTGAAGCCTGAGTGACGTCACTCGTCTGTTCCTGCAGGGGGCTCTGGAGGCTCATCAGCAGCAGCCTCCATGTTGGAAATCCTGTCTCAGTCTAACTTTAACTACAGGCTGAGAGCTGAGGCGGGTTTTAAGACCCCTGACAAAATGTTACATCACGCCCACCTGTCAATCATGTCAGCTACGCACCTAACTATGGATAACACGTATCATTCATAAAATCAAAAAGGATGTGTTGTTATAAAAAATTACTAATCAGACCCATTTCTTTTCTATGAACATTCTGCTGTAGAAACAGCTTTTTATAATGGGAGTGCATGTGACTTCCCAGGCTCTTGGAACCAGCCAAGGTGTAGATGCTACTCCAAGTGACCCTGAACTACAAAGCGAGTACGTTTCAGGGAATGTTGACTGGGAACAACCAGCACAAACAGAACCTGGGGGTCCACCATTGTGGTTGTAACTGAACTTCTCGCACATGGCTAATACCTGGAACCGAATGTGCCTGAAGTCTCAGTTTTCAGAAAAACAGCATATTTCCAATTTAAGGCGAAGGAAAACTGTGCAGTTTTTCAGAGCTTGCACCCAACAAGGAGTTGTTGTTAAAACAAAAGCAAAGACAAAACAAAAGGTTCGGGTTTCCAGCTAGAATCGTTGTCGTGTAAATGTGGCCACAGACAAAAAAAGGAAACATTCTCTAAGAGAGCTCCAGGATTAAACAATGCCCGAGACAACACAGATCAAAAAGGGGTATCATATATGCAGAGTAATCTGTGGTATGTCCAATAACGCCGAGTTATAAGACGAACAATGAAGAAATCCTTCGATCCCGTCTGGAAAGAAGAAGGAAGCTGTAACAGTTTACTGAACGTGTGATTTAATGAGGCAACTATTCAGTAAAAAGGGAATGACAGGCTGTTGGGGTCCAGCTCGCAGCTCAGGGTGCCACATGTGAGTCATTCAGTACTTTACCCCACTCAGCCTCACTCCTGTTATTATAAGTGCAGCAGGCCGAGAGTGAGGAGGAAACGAGGCTGAAAAAAAAAGTAAAGAAGAAAAAGAGTAAACTAAAGAACAGATTCGGCCTCTGTAGGTTTTGACACTCTTTACCACAGGATTTTCTTATGACCGCACGTTCAGAAGCTCCACATTACCCAACTCGACCAGATATCCCAAGGGGGACAAGAAACCTCCATGTGGTTTGGTTTTGACTGTCGAAGCAGGAATCTCTGATCCCCATTTGACAATAAGCAGAGCCGTAATGGAGACACAGCAGTCTAGTGTCAGATGTGGACTAGAGGTTCATGTCACGACAGAACCAATCAGGAAGAGTTTAAAGTGGTGAACTATAATAATCAACATGTTAGCATAAATCAGCATATTAGTCCATATTAGTCCCCCTGCGGGGCCAGTATGTCCTCCTTCTAACTTTAGATTCTGCTCCTGAATGCTCTGGATTTGTTTGGACCAGAGAAGGTAGGCGCTTTTAAGGCACCCCCCCCACAAGGCCGTTTTGGACGCCCCTCAGTTTGTCAGATATGAGAGCAGTTATCAGGTCAACAGGTGTTGCAGTGATGGAAGCAGTCAAGGGAAGTGGTTCAGATAGAAGTGATTGTACCCGACCTAAAAAGCCTCTGCATGTTTCTAATAAGATCCACGAGCAGAAACGTGCTCAAACTAGGATCAATATTGGAGATGCTTTTGAAAAATGGAGAGAGGTTAGAACACAGAAAGGTTTACAGACCCATGCAGAGCTGGATAAACACTGAAGCTTCAGAGTCCACCACATGGTGACCTGAGTGAGCATCCACTCTAGAGAGGAGGGGGCGGAGGGGAGACAGCTCTCTACAATGTTTAGAATTTGGAATGCAGTACCCGTTTTAAGCACTAGATGTCAGAGTTACATATCGCTCCTTTAATTGTGGGAAAGCCACAATCAGGATGATGATTAATCTTTGATCGAGTGCGCAACACTTAAGGGACTGTTGCTGTGTATGAATGTATCTTTATACTAATTTCAAGAGAAAATCATGAAAGACAACTCAACATAATGTTATTTAAATAAAGGTCAGAGGTGACTTTGAAAACCTCACCAGTCTGTTTGGTGTCCCACAGGGCAGCTGCTACCACGAAGTCAGAAAAGCAAAATATATAAAGAATCTCATTAATGTGTATTTACCTTCAATGATTCTTTGTTGATGCTGTTTGATCTCTCCAAAGCCCAGCCCTCTGGTCTCGTCCGTCTCGTTGATCAGCCAGGGGTTTGCTGCGTCTCGACTTCCTCCCGCACCTTCAGCCATCAATGTATATCTGTAAAACAAAATCATGATAACAGTATAAACTTTCTTAACTGTTTCCGGAATAAATCAAAAAATGTGTATTCAAGAAATGAAAAAAAAACTGAAAAAATCAGAACCATGGCTTTCAAAGTATTCAAGACAACTCAGGAAACGGTGCACTACGACTGAGGGTAAAACCAAGTGACCCTTTTCCCGTCAATCACCAATTCAGCACATAAGAGAAATGTTTTAGATTCAATACGATACTACAAAATATCAAACAAAAACCTGTTTTGATACCAGGGCATAAAAATTTAAGTCCAATGCACGGAGGGCAAATTGGAAAAAGTGACATTGCCATATCTTAACTTTATAAAATGAAGGAACTTCTTTCTTTAGTTACCAAAATTGCAACAACAAAAAACTCATGCATACTTCTCTAAAATGCACAAAACCATTGTGAACGTTTCGGCAATGAAATGTCGCCAATGCAAAAATTAACAAATCTCGAGTTCTTTTGCCGTCTCATGAAGACACAAAAGTTGCATCTCTTGCAAACAGACCCAAGAGGAGCCAGGAGATGAGACTCCTGGCTAAAATGCAGAAATATGTTAGCAGCATGTCAGTGTATTCATGCAATTTAGACCGAGTGCAGTAGTTTTCTTGCAATTTTTGCTAACCATGAACAGGTAAATCTGTCAACTTCATTCCTGCATGAGAAATAAATACGACTTCTTTAATCTCAGCCAGACTCTCAGTGTGACGATGACTGCTTCAAGCTGTTACTGAGGTGGTAAGTCGAGCATTGTGAGACCACTCACAGAGCGGCCAAGCTGAGGCTGATACCATCAGAGACGCAGGTGAGACGGGGCATCGGGGGTCTAATCTCTCTGACATGTTTGATTACTAGGAGACCGTGTGCCAGCCCCTCCACTTCCTCCGTGCTGTTGCCCAGTGTGTGAAGATCCAATTAACCAGTCAGTGGGGAGCGCCAAAACCAGTCAGGCACATCTCTTGAACTAGACTGCCGCCATCGCAACCCGAGCGCCCCATGCCCCTGACTGAATGACTCGGACAGGCGAGATTTAACTAATTACAACTATTTCCAGAGCAATCAGACACAAAGGAGAGGTTAGTGAATAAAGGAGGACAGGTGGGTCTGAGGGGTATGAGGGGTGACGGGGTGAGCTGAGCCTTCAAAATGTAGGCGCCATGTCCTTCTTTTGCTTAAGTCTGAAATGGAGATGCTGAGAATGTATTGTTTCAGGGATAGATTAAAGTCCCCTCTGTAACCTCTTTCCCTTTTCTTCTACCCAAAAGTTCTCACAAAAAAAAAAAAGAGCGGCTTAGATTATCCAGGCATGGCCAATCCGCCCCCCTCCCACATTCTGTCCTTAAGAGACCACACAGTGGGAATGGGTCCTTCCCACAAATCCAAATGACCCACCACATATCACTATTAAAGTTAGGTCTCACTGAGCAAACGTTAAAAAAAAAATAAAAAAAAACCCAGACCACATGATTACAGTTTGCTGAGCTAATTTATTAGAAAAAGTCGTTTTTACAGGGCCTTTTATGTAATTGGGTGTGTGGTCTTTAAAAAGATGAAAGCCTGTGCAAAACAGCGCTAAGTAGTTTAGTCCCCAAACCAAAGCTTGTGAAAGACACCACAGAGAGGCAGTCTGTCAAGGCATCAATAAAAAACGGCTCTTGAAATTCGACGAATATGGTTTAACAGTTCTGATTGGTTTCTCTCTGCTGTCCAATTCAGTGGCTCCTCAAAACTTTGGCCACAAAGTCGACATACTAAACTGGACAGAGCTGAGTTTTTTTTTTTTTTTTTTCACGACTTGCGGAAAATTAAGGCAATAGAGAAGTGCAAAAAAAATAAACTGCAGTTCCTTGAGTGTCCACTTGAGGCTGGCTTTGAAAGCCCCACAACGTGCATACACACCAATATGACAATGTCCGTTTTGACAGCAGAAATAACATGTTTACAGCCTGGTGGTCATAAAGTGAATTTGGTCAGAATAGTTGATGTCTTTATTGGCTTTGATTTCATGAAGGATAAGAGTTATGCATAATTAGGGGCGTGGCCCTAAGCAACAATGCAAGGAGGCGTGTGTCCCATCTCATCTCTACTGCTTTGTCTGTTTCTAAGGCTGAAAGCAAGGAAACCATTTTCCAATATGGCAACCGCCATCGTTGGGCCTCAAAATTCCTCTAGAGTAACCAATGGGTGATGTCACAGAGACTACGTCCATGTGCATACACACTCTATGTTAACCTGTTGGTCAATGTCATTAAACAGTAGAGATGGGTACGGAGAACTGGTATTTTTTTTTGGTACCAGTACATGATGGGTCAGTACCAAAATGAACGTTGAGCTCATTGTTGCTCCTGTTGATATTCCCTTTTGTTTAATGCACAACTTTCCATAAGTGCCGCTGTCAGCAAAAACAGCAGACCATCACTTAATCATAGCCTACTGTTTGTTTTCTGTTGAAGAGTCTAATGAACAAGTTTGGATTCAGAAGCTGCGGCTAGATTTTTTGAAGGTGAAAACATAAAGACATCACACAAAAGATTTTTTAGTTTACGTTTCAAGGAGACATTTGTAATTTAAAATGACTTTTAGTTGATTCACTAAGGAAACAAACCATTTCTAACATGCTCCCCAGACAGTTTACACCAAATAATGAAGAGTGGTATCGGAAAGCAACGTTATTGATGAGCAGCATTGACAGATTAATTGTAAGATACCACCAGGTTAGGGTCTCTCTCAAGAACATTTCGATCACCAAACATTTATTTTCCTTATTTTTTAAACTTTTCCTGCTCCATTTTATAGTTATGATTTCATCTTGAGTCCTCTCGTGTCTTTCCTTTTTTCTGTCTTCCTGCTCATCAGGCACATTTTTACCGTCTGATAAAAACAACCAGCTGCACAAAAACAATCCAAACATTCACATTAGAGGGTTCATATTGAACATGAAGATTTATAAAACACACAGTAACCCATGAGGAGGTAACAACATGATCCCATTTCCTCCTCCTGTCCAAGCAAATATCAGCGGGGCCAACACCGGGTCAAACTTTTCACAGAGTAATGACTGTATGCTGCTGTTATGTTGTCAAAGCTGTCACATCGGCGTAAAATCAGACGATGAGGAGGATATACGCTGTGACGTCCAGCTCTTTGATTAAGTCCACGAGTGGAGGAATAATTGCTCTGTGGAGAGTCGGACACTGAAGAGTCACACCTTCCACCCTTGTTCATCAGGACGCACACACATGATTTTTAAACTTTCGATACCATGACAACAAAATGACATCTCCTAGGAATCCAGTATCGGGTAATGTCTTGTTTGTGTTGCCAATAAAACTCCTGCAAACGTTCTAAATTGCACAAATGTGTTGGCAATGTGTTCAGCAATTTGGAGAGCTCTCTCTCTCTCTCTCTCTCTCTCTCTCTCTCTCTCTCTCTCTCTCTCTCTCTCTCTCTCTCTCTCTCTCTCTCTCTCTCTCTCTCTCTCTCTCTCTCTCTCTCTCTCTCTCTCTCTCTCTCTCTCTCTCTCTCTACTTTCTGCAGCTTTGGTTAAAATACGACTGTAGATCTGAAGATTATCTCAAACTTTGATAATTTCGATCATTAAAAAAAACATGCAATCAAAAATATCAAACATTTTGACAGCCTTAACCATCATACAGTCAAATGAGTGTGTGTGTGTGTGTGTGTGTGTGTGTGTGTGTGTGTGTGTGTTCATTCCGGGAGGTGCCAAATGTGTGATCAACAGTGCAAAACCAGCGATTCTCCTAATGAAGAAGAATTAAGAGACAAAGTGGAGCGGCCTGTCAGAATGTCAGACGGGCTGACTTCCTCTCGCGTGATGAGGTCACGGCACATGGGTCATAAACGGATGTACAAAGACTTCAGTGACTGCTGACATACCATCAAAAGACCAGAGGGAAAAGAGCCCGTGACCTCTGTGGTCCAAGGGCACAAGACAAGAGGATGAGGTTTCATTATTTTAATTGGGGAAAGAGAATTAATAAATCTTTGACTGAGAGAGGAAAATCCAGGAATGAAAAGTGGCATGTTCTGTGAATCGAGCAAATCAACAAGAAATAATAAAAGCTGGTTTAACAAATCGGCAGCACTGTCTGGTTAGTGTTCAAAGTATTCAGACATGTCTCTTGTGTGCCTTCTAAAATGTAAGACCTCTAACAAATACACATCAGGTGATTTTAAGATATTGTTGACCTTGAATGCAACATTTGTTTTAAGGACCGGCGGGGGGACCCTGTTTTACCTGGAGGGCTCGGACTCTGTGACGTCTCCCTTGAAGGAGGCATTGAGCTGCCTGTCTCTGGTGAGCAGGTCGTCAATGAGGTTCTGCCTCCTATCCGCTTCTGACTGCATGCTGATGAGGCCGCGTTAAGGTCAAACTAAAGGTCAACTTTACTTTAACATAAGAAGAAGAAGATGGCTGATCAACATGAGTCTTGTTCTGCTCGAGGTTGGATCTTTGAATTGGTGCTGTACAAATAAAGATTGTTTGATAATGGCGCTGACTGAGCCCACACTTTGCAACTTTTATCAGGGAACACTAAGACAAATTATTGAGTGTCAACTTGTGAACTGTCCTGATTTCATCCCTGTGATGTATTGATTATTTATACTTCTTCGGTCTGAAATAAAGTCAGTGAAGTTTCTACCTATACTTGGCAGTTCAGACAGACTCTTTCCAAAACACTCTAATGCCCTCTACAGGACAAAAGCTGCTACTACAACAAGGAAAACCCTCATCTTCATCTCCTGACTTCCACTGTGTCAGAGCATAAGGATACATGCGGCGAGATGACGACGCTCGCAACACACCATCTTTGAGCTGGCCGATATTTTGTTTGAGCTTCTGCAGCGATGCCCGAAGTGTCATGTTGATCTGCAGGAAAAGACAGAACAGAAAACCTTTATTGACATCGCACACATCCAAAAAAGTTATCAAAAATTGTATAAAAGAGGTGGATAAAAATGTAGATGTAGATTTAAAAGAAGGTAGTGAAGATACTGACACAAACAAATAACTAGAGAGACTCGACATTTTCACCAAAACCCCTTTCCCTTGTGGCTATAACCCCTTACCTTTGCTGGGTTTCCCCCCGTTCTCTGCTGCCTGTTCCGTTCATGGATGTTTTCGGCAATTTCCTGTGCCAAGCGACAAGTGGCATCATAGTCCTGTAACCTAGAGATGGATGAATGGGAAAGAAGTGTCACAATAATTCACCTAACGTCACTGAGTCAGGACAATCAGCCCACCTCAGATAAAGTGCTGAGCAACAGAGAGAGACTCATGTTTAATAACAGGATTTATGTGGTGTGAAACACAGCAGACAACCATGACCAGTCCCTGGATATGTGCACAGTGAAGACAGTACACTTATTAAATCTTCATACACCCCCATAAGCCTTTTCCTTTTGACCACTGACAGGTGGAGTGAAAAACACTGATTATCTCTTTACCGTGGTTCCTGTCGGTCAGTGTTCGGGATATGTCCTTGCAGTTGGTGTGTTGGAAGCAGGGAAAATGGCCATGGTGTGTTGCCGGTCTGCAGTGGTCACTACAGACCAAAAGACCGGCACCATGTGGTGTAATCCAATCAGAGAGCAACTGGACTTAAAATTGTTGAAATAGTTCATGTTGGTTCTGATAGAGAAGGTCAGAACACACAGGTGATTGTAGTTTTTTTAAATACAGAGTTGCATAGCCGCAGGCCGGTCAAGACCCATGCTGACCCCTGTCGCAAGCATCAGAGCTGGACCACGGACGTAGGCTAATTTATAAAGTCTCTGCACTTGTTGGCCTTCAATCTTTATCAGGGCAGGACCAAAACTGCCCTGATAAAGAAGGTCGTCTACAGGATGTAGGTACACTAATATGAATTACATATCAGGAATACATCACTTTACAATTCAGGACGAGTATTGTTTTGATTGATTGATCGATTAAATTCATTTCAGACATATCAAATAAAATCAAACATATCAAAAATACAAAACAAAATGAAAAGCACAAAAATACAATAAACGAAAAACTATGTTTAAATTATTTCACAAAAAAAGAAAAAGAAAATTACACATATTCAATTGAAATGCCTGAAAAGGAGTAGGAAGAAGTATAAAACTTATATAATCCTTTTCCACAGCTCAATAATTAATATTTATTAAATTAAATTAACTTCCTGTGTTCCTTCTCTATATATACAATCTATCTATATACAATATTTATGAGACTATATTTGATATTTACAATCCAATGATTTTCCATACATATATACAACGATTTTTTTTATAATTTATATATATATACACACACACATATCTATTTGTACAATTTGATGTACTATATTTACATTTTATATATGTATACAATCCTTATATCTTTACAGTTTGGTACAGTATGTTTACAATTATACATTTAATACAATCTATATCTATATATACAATTTGATATAGGCTACTATATGTACAATTTACATATACTGTATATAATACACATTAACATACACCTGTGTATACAAAACTTGTAAACCCAATTATTATTATTGTTATTATATTTTTTATATTATTATTATTATTATTTATTATTATTATTGTTATTATATTTTTTATATTATTATTATTATCATTATATTTATTTTATTATTATTATTATTATTATTATTTATAAAAAATATTTTTTTTAATTTATTATTATTATTGTTGTTATTATATTTTTTATATTATTATTATTATTATATTTATTTTATTATTATTATTATTATATTATTATTATTATTTAAAAAATAAATATTTTTATTATTATTATTATTATTATTATTATTATTATTATTTTAATTATTATTTGTTTTTCTTAAAGCTCTCCCTCCTCGCTGTACCTTTTGAAAAGTATTGTAGTATGTGGCAGTATTGGAGTAATATTTGAACAACAGTATTTACACTCACAAACACAATATTGTCTAAAAAGTCACCTGAGGGATGAATGAGGAAGTTTTCAGACACAATGACACAAAACAAACTCATATTCTGATTAAAACTGTTGTGTGTATTTAGTGTGTCCACCTCTGAACAGCTTTGTTTTCAGGTAAATATATCATCAAGTGAGTAAAAATGACCTGGAGCTCTTTAAGCTCACAGAATGAACTTAAAGAGCTCCAGGTCATTATGAGCTTCTCTAAAATGTTTCAGTGTGTTGATCTTCAGCTTAACAACCATCATGTGACACTTTAGCATCTCTCTTTTCCTCTTTCGTTTCTCCTTCCTGCTCCCAAAGTTCACAACAAACGATGCCTCAGAATAAATCTCCTCGACCTCATCCATAACCGCTACACTACAATGAATAACACCTGAACAGACTCATTTGTAGAAAGGTTTTAAAGGAATATCAGACTCTTTGTTTTTAGCTAACAGCTAGCCCTGCAGCTAACAGGATGCAGATAGATTATGTGACTTTTTAGGTTTAATAACGTGATAAACTGAAGTTAAAAACACAGAAGGAGTTATTAATTGTAGCCTCTGATCAAATAACTCACCAGGGGTCCTGAGACATTGTGATAAAAGTGAGCTACGAAGAAGAAAATCCACGTAGTTTGAACCATCCGGCAGTAATCACCAGCGAACTGTTTCTTGTTTGTGTGTGACGTCACTACGGCAACGCGAGAGGAACAGTAGGTGCTGGAGTCGCGTTTTTTTTTTTTGACGTTTCTAGAAAGGCTATAATGATTAGTCATTAGTGAATAACAATCCAGTTAGGATTGTTCTTATGTCATAATAGTCAAAACACTTGCATGCTTACTTTTTATAACCCACATGGAGCCAAATTTCCCATTAAAAACTTACAGTAGGGGAGACTGGGGTCAATAGTGACACTTTTCACATTTTCCATCCACCATAACTCAAGCAATCAATCATTATTTGTATAGTGTCGATTCATAACAACTGTTATCACTTTACAAAAGAGCATATGGGATAATATGCAGGAAGGATTTCTCGCGTTCCTGTTGTCCACACTTCCTTGCCGCTGAGGTGGAGGTCGTAACAGGCCATACATGAAAGAGGATGGAGGTTGTTTTTTTAAGGGATTTTTAGTGTTAAACAAATACTCAGTGTAAGTATCATTGTAAAAGAAATGTGACTTGGTACGTAAGTCATTGTCTCAGTATGTTTGTCTGGCACGCTAACATTCATGTGGATAAAAGATACGTTGGTTATTCATAATGACTCCGAGTCAATTAAACTACAATTTCAACCGATATGTTGTACTTAACGGCAACACTAACTGGTGATTAAAAAAAGGAAATGCAGAACCCTTCAATAGTCAGAATGCACCACATATTCAATGTGACATCACGCTTAGGAAGAAAAGTGTGAAAGAATGTATTTTTCAACACACCTGATGTCATCAGCTTGATTCTTAAGGCCCTGACACACCAAGCAGACAGGCAGAGAACTAATGGGGACCAAGGCCGTCTGTGGCGTCGCCTCACGTCTTGGCCAAAAAGTTGCACTTGAACACATCGCAGAGACTCCAGCCAATCACCACGTACGTTCTGCACACGAGTGAGAGGAAATGACTCTCCATGCCAGCAGGGGGCGGTAGCTCTTTGTTATGATACGAGAAGACCATTTTCACATCGCTGTCGCTCACCACTCGTATCATAGGTAGCCTACTAATGGAGAATAATGTCTGATAAAAAGTTGAAAATGGCGCTGGCGTTGTCAGCTCTTGATCTTTTAGTGGAAAAAAGAAAAGAAGAGGCGGAGGAGACGAATAAGGAGAAACCGCACTAATGGGTGAAAGCATGGATACTACAGCGACATGCTCAAGGGGCTTTACTGAACCTGTGTCGAGAGCTGGACCAAGGCTCGACCAAGGCCGACGGGTTGCGACGTAGCCGGACACATCGCAAAAACTGGGGCAACGACCGCTCACAATCTCCAACAATCTCCTCGGTGCATCAGGGCCTTAAGTGGTGCTATTGAGTGTGTTACAATCGCCCCTGGTCTCCCCTAAGTGATAAATTGCAAGAGCTGTTTCCCTTAATCACACATACGCATTTTGGTTCATGGTGCAGAATGAATTCTATGGACCTGCTTTTGTTTTTCTAAACTAGACTTTTTAAATGTGATCAGTCTCTTTTTCTTCCACTGTGGAAAGGTCTGAATTGTGTATCTGTTTAACTACCTTCATTTCTTACACGACACCAAGAAGTGCACGTATTACATGTTTTGCCCCAGCATCCTTGGAAATTGACACCAAGGAACCACAGGATGCCGCCCCTCCTCCTCCTCCCCCTCCTCCTCCTCCTCCTCTCACAGGGCTTTAAGAGCTTGTTTTTCAGCTGCATTACATGTGAAGCCCACATATGACACGAGCACTTGTACACGATTTCATGTTTCATAACCAAACAGCCGTTGTGTTTGGATCAAAACACGTACCTGTTGTATGGAATAATAACCTTTGGAAGACTTCTCGGAATAGACTCATTTGGCATTTGGCACATGAAGCAGATTCAGAGAAATAGCCCTGACCTCATTCTGAAGAATCGATTCATATGTTTGCCCATTTTTTTTTTTAAAGGTTTATTTTGGAGCTTTTTATGCCTTCATTTAGAGATAGGACAGCGGATAGAGTTGGACATTGGGGAGGGAGAGAGAGAGAGAGAGTGGGAAATGACATGCAGGAAAGGAGCAACAGGTCAGATTCGAACCCGGGACACCCGCTTGGTGGACTTTAGCCTCCACACAAGGGGCATGCACATTGACCGCTAGGCTAACGGTCCCCCAGATTTACCTATTTAAATACAAATGTAGATGGAGATGATTCATCAGTAATGGAATATATTTCATGTATGTTACAGTTTAATAACTGTAACTCACTGCAGTGAGGCGGCTTATTGGAAGGACACTCCTCTTTAAAAGTGTTGGTGTTTTTCCGTGTTTTACGTGAGTTTTGATCTCTAGTCTGTGATTTTCTGCTTCCCAGAATGGGCTATTGTGAACTGACGAAATGAAAACAACATTATCAGTGATTTCCTTCACTTTCATTGGCTGAAAAACTGCACAAACAAACCCCTACCGCTCTACTTAGCCTCAGGCGGGCCCAGCCCACTCAGGCTTATATAAAGCCCTGATCCTGAAGCTGTGCAGCCAGTGACAGGAGACACGTTGAAAGACAAGCTGCACTCTGGAGAAGAATGAGACTTGAGATGCTTCAAGTTTCAAGATCGCCAGAGTTTCCTAATTGTGGGAACATGAATTCAGTTTCGATGCACGCTTCCTCCGGTGAAGATCTGGGATCTCTGAAAGGAAGCAGGAGCAGGCCGAGGTCTCACTCGTACTACAGCCGAGAGGACAGTAAGAAGTACAGTGTGCAGACTCAGGCGGAGGAAACCTATACAAGACCACGCTCCAGGTATGTGACACCTTCAGTGCAAAGAAATGTGCAGTTTTATCTGTAATCAAATGATGTTTGTGACTAAGCAAAGCAACAAGCCTGTGTTTTCAAATTAAAAATGTTTTTTTCAAAGAAATTTATTTTCAAATTTTAAATTATTAATTAAACATAAGCTTCCATATAGAGTGGAAAAACTGGAACGAGGACTCCTGTCATTGGAGTAGGTAGTAGTAACAAATATGACGAACACAAAAAGAAAAACAGTCATAACGTATTCAGAAGACTAATTATCAATTCTAAATACATTTACCGTAAAACTTCACTTAAAGGCCCATCCCAATTTAAGGCCTGGTCCCCTTTAGTAGCCTGCTGTAGTTGCACGTTTTGACAAATAAAGGAAGCTCTCACTTAGAGGCCCTGATGCAGTGTGTTGATTAGTTTGCAGATGACAAATATGGCACAAAAGCAGCAAGGCACAAAAACAAATATTTCTGTCTGTCCAGGAAAGACATCCCAGAGAGGCGGGGTTAAACCCTGAACTGAGACATATAGAGACAGACAACACACACATTCACACCTACCTGGGCAATTTAGAGTAACAGTCAATCAATCAATGGGGCCCCCTTAGGGAGATTTTTCTACTGTCATTGCAAAATTTGCACAGATCCCGTCAAGCCAAATGGCCATTGGGGCCCAAGGCAAAAATCAATTGGGGGCCCTACAACCAGCGTTCAGCAGGGCAATTAGAGTGAATGCTGTTAGATGGGGGCCCCTAAGGGAGGTTTCCTACTGTCATTGCAAAATTTGCACATTATGGGTCACTTCTTTGGTTTAAATTTTGTCCGTCCCCCGGGGCCCCCCTACTGGTCTGGGGGCCCAAAGCGGTTGCCTGCCTTGCCTGTTGACAAGCAGCATCTATGATGTTACAAAGACCCAACGTTGATCCCTCATGAGCATTTCACAAAGTTACAGGGGCAAGAAAAAACTTCCTTTGAAGAGGCAGAAATGTGGTGAAAAACAAAACTCATGATGTTCAGCCGTCTGCAGAAAGTGCACCGGCCGGGTTTGAAAAATGGGACAGGGGATGATGCATGAAGAAGGATAGGGACAGGGGGATATTTGAAAATGAATGTGTAGATTTGACCAAATCTTCCGCTCCCCTGCAGATCTTTTTACAGTATTGAGACATCGGACCATAATTATGTGCATGAGCTGGGAAACTCTGCATTGTCCAGTCCACTGAGGCAGAAGGCGAACTCCAAGTCCAGGTCTAAACCAAAAAAGCACTCTCCATCAAGAGATCTCAACGGTACTGAAACAAGGTTTTTTATACAGGCTTCCACTTATTCCACATCTACACTGTTCAGGAAATTAATCTGAAGTGTATACATGAATGTTTTTGTCCAGGCACTAAAGACACTCTGAAGCTCGTGTCCATGATCACCATCTCTGAGTCGGACAACTGGGAGATCACCTCCAACTCGGGGATGAAGTACGGGCAGTTTGTGGACTGGGAGAAGATTGATCCCGAGGCTGCCAAAAGATACCAGCAGATCCTAGAGAGCAATCACCAGCAGCTGAAAACCATGGGCCGGGAGGGATTCTGGGAAATGCCCCATACGCTGCGGGCTAAAGCGTACTATCACATCATCCACAGCATCAACTCCATGTAAGTCCCATTTTTAATTCATTCATTTATATCATAAAAAAAATGATGTATATAGGTTAGGATGGATGTATATGACCTGAATGATGACCTGAATGATGACTTGAAAATGGCTCGATGTTGTTTTTTCAGCGGCACGGTCACTCCAGACAGAGAAGTCTACTATGAATTGTCCAAGGAGCTCTTTGGAGAACAGAAAATCAGCACCCATCCTGTGCCAGAATACATGGAGGCCGGAGAAATACCCAGGTACTTAAAAAAATAAAAAAGCTTTTATTCATTTTCCCTGCATGAACCCTCAAGTGGTCTTTTAAATGCGCCCTAAAAGAAGACTTCTCCAGCCTTTCCATTAGTTTCAGATATTCCCTCTTATCAACAAGAGAGTGGAGGAAAACATACTGGCAATGAAACAGTTGATTACATGCATGGAAATTGCATTAGTTCAAGCATTATACAATCCATTAGGGCTTTCACACTTCTGAAATCTCCTGAAAAACTTGGCAGTCCTCCCGAAATTAACTAAGCTATTATCCGGAGTGCATATGTGAAAACGGCTTCTCTCTCCAATCTCTGAAATA